CCCAGGGTTTTTCAGGTGTAGGTTTTGGGTTTGGGGGGCCCGGTTTTTTTTTTGGGAACCCCCCCCCCTACCTTTTTTTTTTTTTTTTTTCATTGTTTAAAAATTTTTTTTTTTGAAAACCCCTTTTTTTATTTTTTTTAATGTTTTTGAAGGTATTTTTCCTCGCCTTCCCAGGTTTTCCCCCAGGCTCCCCCCCCCCCCCCCTGACCGTTGTCGTTGTCGTTGTCTTGTGTGTGTGTTGTAAGAGGAGAGTTTTTTTCGTGACCCTTTTTCTCGTATGCGCAAGGGTAAACAAAAATATTTCCCGACACGTAACCCTCCTCCAGAGGCGCTCAGGGCGGGGGGGGGCGGTATACTAAAATCAAGTACAAAAAAGTTAAAAAAAACATTCAATTTTTAACTTTGCTCGCAATTGCGACACCACTGATTTTTATTCTATTTCGACCTCTGTAGGGGTTAGGTGTCGTTTTCACTTTTCTGTGTTCGCCCTTGGTATGCGTGAAACACTTGTCGATCGTGTGTCCCAGTTTTTTCGCGAGTTTAAAAAAGGCATGGGGTCCAGCACAAGATGCAGCATTTCAAACCGTCAAAGGTGCCCTGTCCGTGAAACACTTGTGCAAAAAGGGTGGCGGTACCGCTGAAGGCAAAGGACGGCCGAAATGCACCCACCCAACTTGTCAGAAACAACTGGGACACACCATGGACAAGTGTTTCGCGGACAAAGCATCTTTGAGGGTTTGAAGTGCTGCATCTTGTGCTGGATCCCGAGCCTTTTTACAACTCGCACATTTGACAAAACTCTTCCGGGTCAATTCCGCAAGCGGTGCCGTAAGATCGGAGTAATCTTTGACAAATTCTGCCGCTGACGCCAGTAAGGGTTTGAACTCAAGAACACCGCAGGGAGGTGCGAATCTCCAACGCTGTCTTGACAGGCGTTCCACTCAGGCAACGGCCACAGATATGGGGCGGTGTGTATGATCACCGACAGACTGTGATGCTCGGTAAAGAGGCAGACTCTCTACTATAGATGAGATGGGGACATAAGTGAAGAGTGAGAGGTGTGCGAGGGCACGCCCTCGCATCCCTCTCGGACAAAATTCACGGTCAACGATCCGAGGAAGCCTCGTGGAAGACGGGCTTTAGGTCCCTCGTAACGTTGCACGCTTCCTCGTGGCTCGGAGCGTTGGCGACATCGACATCGCTCCGAGAGGGACCTCCCACGCAGGATTTAAGAGTGTCTAGAAAAATAACAGGGAGGGGGCACGCAGACCCTATCCCCATCCCTAGCCCTAACCCTAAAGCACGGATTGAATACTTCATCCCATATGCTTGCTTAATCAATTTTGCTGCGTAGGCTACGGTCCGAGAGACTACTCCCTCAGAGGAGAGTGTGGGCAACGTTCTCCAAGGTTGTAGGATTTGTGGTGAAACACGTAATGTAATGTAGTAGGTTGAGTTCGTAGAGTTGTGACCCGCATACCGTAGGTTGCACAAGATATCACACCCCCTGGACCGATTTTCGAAGCTCGATTTCTCGGCAGGAAAAGCAGTGATGATGCCGAAAATGGCGGAAGGCGTTAGAACCGTCTCGTCGAGAGCTTTCCCAAAACGTATCCTTCGATTTCGGCATCCTCTTCGTCGTGGAGTACTCGAGCTTTGAAAATCGGTCCAGGGGGTGTGATATCTTATGCAACCTGCGGTATGCATGCGTGTTTTCCCCATCTCATCCCTTGTTGACGGGGTCTCGTGGTCGATGTCTGTTTCTCTCTCTCTCTTTTTTTTTTCCCGTCTTCACCCCAATAATCAGCGCTATGACCCATGGTCACACATCACACAGAGGGGTTCTCACATGCATGCGTGTTTCCCCCCCTCGTCCCGGGGCGTTTTTGTTGTTGTCGTTGTCGTTGTCGTCGTCGTTGTCGCTGTCGTGTGGATGTGTTGTTTTTCTCACGTGCATGCGTGTTTCCCCCCCCCTCGTCCCGTGGCGTTGTTGTCGTTATCATTGTCGCTGTCGTTGCCGTTATCATTGTCGCTGTCAACTGTGGGTGTGCGTTATTCTCAGGAGAGATCGAGCACGCCGAGCCGCTTCACCGCCGCGCGCTGGAGATACGCCTCGAGCGCCTGGGTTCCGACCACAAGGACGTGGCCTTCAGCCTCCACAATCTCTCTCTCGTGTACAGCTCGCGGGTGGGTTTAGAGCAGCACACACCGCCGTCCCCGTCGAGAGCGTCCCGAAATCATATGTACCCTTTGATTTCGACGTCCTCGTACGTCGCGGAGTAATCGAGCTTTGAAAATCGGTCCAGGGGAGCGTGATATCTTACGTTATGCAACCTACGGTAGCCTTGGCAGGGTTTTTGTGATGACGTAAACATGTTGGATGAAGCATGCAATCGGGGAAAGTTGGGGTATAGGGGTTAGGGTTTGAGGGCATGGGGGTCTGCGTCCCCACTCCCTGTTCTATGTTTCTCGCGATCTTGTTAATCTCGCTAAGGCGGTCCGTTTGCAGCAGTGCGTGTTGTGTGTTGTGTGTTGAGCCCATCGAGGGCTGTGTCCTCTTGTGTCGTAGAGAGGACAGAGCCCGGGGATGCTTTCTGACTTTTTGTTCCTTGATGAAACGATGCATACGGCGTCGGTGTGGTGCAAGCGTGTCGCACACGACAGCCACAAGGTCTGGATGATTGTTTTCGTGCGGGCCCCGAGTACGAAGTAGACGCGTGGCACGTGCCGTATACGACACAAGATAACGCACCCCCTGTACCGATTTTCGTAGCTCGGTTTATCAACAGCAAAGAGAGTCGCGGCGCCGAAGACGGCGGCATTGAAGCCGTCTGGTCGAGAGAGAGCTCTCCGAAAACGTATCGTTTCGTTTATGTATCCTCTTCGTCGTGAAGTAATCGAGCTTTGAAAATCGGTCCAGGCGGTGTGGTATCGTGTGTCGTATACGGTACTGTGAGCTGCTCAAGATACTGTCCACCCCCCCCTAAATAGATTCTCGGAGCTCGGTTTCTTCACGAATCCACGACGATGGCTCAACTTTCGGCCCTTTTTTTTTTTTTCATGACGAAAAAAGGGGGACGACGAAGAGGCCGGGCGCTACATGTC